AAAATCACGGAAACAAGCAGCAGAAAAAAAGAGAAAGGAGGTGAGAGAAAAAGGATGGAGGAGTGAAGGAAGTGTGAGGGAATAATAAGAGGGGAGGAGATGAGAGGAGGTGGGAGAGGAGGAGGTGAAGCTTTCTCCACAGGAGACATTGACCTGTCAGAGTAAATGTCTTCTCAGCAGGGAGTTAAAAATCATATTTAAAGATCAGACCTTTGAGCGTGTGTGTATTTGGGAAACTTTGGAGAAGACACGGAGATGAGGAGGAGGGGGGAAGAAGGGGGAGGAATGATTCATTTTTCATTCAACAGGTACTTTGTTTTTCCCACATCAGTGAACATAAGTTTTCAGCAGCTGACCTCTGACCTCTGTTTCTACAATGACCCTCTAACAGGCACTGACTGTTTCCTCTGGAACAGCGACACACACTGGTCTATCTGGTAAATTACCATATTATATATATATATTTAATACAATGTTTTTCTGTGTTTAGGTTTTTATTTAATATTTATTTTATAAAATGTTTATATTGTCATTTCTTTAAAGAAACACACACTCCTGGTGTAGGTCTGCTCCCATTGGCTCAGCCCGGTGGCAGGTGTGGTATCGATCAGAATCGAATCAGCCACAATTATAAGACTACATGCTGTGTGTGGAGCTCATTACTATTCAGTGTATCACACACAAACACACACACACACTTTGATTAATGCTAATTTTGTGTGTAGACGTGAAACGCCTTAATCCTCTTCTCTAATTGGTCTTTTATTTTAACCATGGGCCTCAGGGTGGAGCGGGGGGGCGGGGGTGAGGGGGCGTGTTTACGGTCCTTAGTTAAGGTGGTGTCAGTGCTGTTATTACCACGGCTCCGTGGGAATGGATGAGACCAGAGGAGTCTGGTCCACAACAAACTTTGACTCATTAAAGTAACGAGGAAACTTTGAACAAATTTAAAATAAAGACGACGGCGAATGAAACAAACATCAGTGAAGAGAGAAGAGTGAGAGACACTGACACTGACTCTGAAGTCTTTGTCTGTACTAGCCCCCTGTGGTCAGATTACAGACCAGCTCAGGGTTGAACCACAACAGACCGACTGTTCTGGGACCACTCCATGTAGATGCAGATGAAAACCTAGTTGATTCTCTAAAGCTGCAACAGTGGAGGGCGCTGTCAGAGATCTAACATTACTGAAATGTAAGAAGTTGCTGATTGCACCAACTAAAACAGCTCCATCAGCTGGAGGAGGCAGACGGGTGGAGCAGCAGTTCAGGACCTCCAGGATTCTGCTGCTGCTGCAGCCACTGAAGTGGAGACGCTGCATTTGTCTCCTGTCATCTCAACTCCTCCTCACATTCAAATGATTAAAACAGAAAAGTTTGAACCTCAACCTCACGCTGACCCAGAGTCAGATCTGGAGCCTCCCTCCTCTCTCCTTTCCCCACCTCCTCCTCCCTCTACACACTCATCATTTCCACGGCCCACAGCACCGCCTGCAGACATGGTTCTGTCAGGCGTGTGTCACCTGGGTCCAGACAGCAGCAGGGTCCTCCTCATCAACCCTGTTAATCCTCAGCAGCTCATTAGGTTCTGTTGGTGGTGAAGCTCAGGTGAGCAGATTAAACAAGGAGCTTCAGACACATGAATAAATGAATGAATAGAATCAGTGGTACTTGGTGAGGAGAATATTTCTAATATAAATTATAATTATAATATAAAACATCTTTCTGTTGAAGTCTCTTTCCTTCTGGGGAAAAAGCACAAAGAAAATCAACAGATTAATCCAGATTACAATCTGGTGTTTCTGTAGATTATTGTGTCAGAATGGACTAAAAAACTTAAACCAACGTTTGATTTGTTTGGTCAGACATCATACCAATGACTGGAACAACAACTGTTCATTTCACCAAGTCGGTGAAACAGGACCAGTGATCTGGACTCCACTGGTCCCTGGACCAGGGTTCTACACACAGCAGCTCCAACAGGCCTGGGATTTGAACCAAATACAACTAAGGTGCTGACCACTGGGCCACAGGCCGCTCCAGTAGACCACAAACAGAGTGAAAACAAGACAAATAAAAATTAAACTCACAGCAGAGACGTCCAGAAAACACCGGCTGAAAACCACTGCTCCACCGCTCCACCAAAAAACAACAGCATCCAAACCCTGGAGGACTGACTGACTGATGGCTGACAGGCTACAGGTGCAGCTAATGAGGTCATCTGAGAAGGACAGGAAACAGGAAGTTAAACTGAAACACACACACACACCAGAGAGTAGAAAATAAAACCAGGAGAGAGAAAAAAAGAAGTCAAACATCTGCCACAGAAAAATGACTTAATTTGGTTCAAAACATCACATTATTTTCAAGAAATTCTTTTGACTTTTACTGAAATTAAATTCATCGTTGTCGTCTGTGTTCTGACTACAGACGAGCTGACAGTGAGGTTCAAGTTCATGGTCTGACCTATTGACCTTTACCCTGTTTGCTGAGGGGGCAGATCAGGTCACGGCTGTGTGTGTGTGTGTGTGTCTGTGAGGAAACCTGATTCCTGATGTTGGCGGCTGACTGAATTATTCACGCTCCTCTGTGGTCGTCTCCCTCTGTGAAACCTGAGAGGGAGACGGGTGAGGCAGCCCCACCCTCATACACCCATCACCTGGGGGAAGGAGCGGGGGGGCGGGGGGGAGTCTAGACAACAGAGAACAAGAAAAACAATCGACTGAGTTGAGGAAATACCAAAATAATTTGTGATCAGTGAGGAGCAGCATGTCTGAGTCCAGACCAAGGTGTTCGGAAGAACCGGGTCAGGACTGGATCAGGACTGGGTCGGGGGTAATTATTATTATTATTGGAGTAATGTGTGTGTGAGACCCTGTGATGGACTGGACCACTGTCCAGGATGTGACCCCGCCCTCTCCTGACCTCTGCTGTGATTGGCTCCAGTCCCTCTGTCTCTGAAAATGTTCAAATCTCTTTAGGTCCTTCACTCTCACACACTCTTACCTGTTCTTCCTCCTGAAGGGATCTTGGCAGAGCGGGCCGTTGTTGCTCTGCTCACAGCCCTGCTGCAGTCCTCGGGCCTGTGATGGATTAATTCCTCCTGCGATGCTACAGATTTAGTTATGAGGCTGGAAACGGAGCCCAGAGGAGCTCTCTCTCCAATCACTTGGTTTACATTATGCTGAGAGGTTATTATGGAATTATCGATCAATAACACTGAGGAAACCCTGCCCTGTGTGTCTTTAAGACATTAATGTTTAACATACTGTACACCACACTGGGCACAACGTCAACCGTTCAAATACATCTGAACAAAAACAAGGTTTTTTTTTCTTTTTTAATCTTCACTCAAAGAACAAAAAACCTCCAGATCTCTTCTTTACTCTCCTCTAATCACAGGAGATAGAGGACGACCACAAATCCATCGCACTCAATATACACACACATACACACACAAACCTGCACAACCTGATCGGAGGTAAAGCACATCTGTTAAACAGACTGAAACACAGAGACAAAAGTCCTGTTTTTTTTCAAATGGATCTAAAGTCAGAGGACTCAATTTAACTAGGAAAGAACGGTCAAAAAGTGTCTAATAATAATAATAATAATAATCTTCATCATCATCATCATCATCATCATCATTAAACCACCCCCCACCACCAGCACACATACCACAGGGAGAAGAGAACTCCACACAGAGATCAGCAGTTAGAGCTGGGGATCGATCTTGTTGTAAGGCAAGTCCACCAACCACTCTTCCACTGTGTGGCCTTAAGAATGATCCCTGACAGAGAGACAGACACTGAAGTCGGACTGACCCAGGTACAGCATTAGCGTCTTTAAGAGAGACAGACACTGAAGTCGACTGACAGAGAGACAGACACTGAAGTCGGACTGACCCAGGTACAGCATTAGCGTCTTTATTTTTATGTCGTTGTTGCATAGGAAATGCACATTTTGCCTTCAGTAAATTGATTCTGCGTGGACATGGAGTTACTAATGAGGCTGAGGGAGAAGGAGTGATGTGTCTACAGTTCACCAGTTCAACAGAAAACACGTGTGAGGGCAATAAAAACCAGGAGAGAAGAAGAAATGAAGGAGGGGTGACAGCGGTGAGTCAGAGAGGACGGAGGGAGTCAGTGCAGACTCACAGCTTCAGAACACACTAACAGATGGACTAACAGTGGCACCGGACACAACTAATGGGAACTAGTTAACACTGAACAAACAGTTAACACCAGGTCGTGACCCGGTCAGACGGCGGTCAGAAAACACCACCGTGTTCCATAAAAGAGTTGTAGAGGCACAAGGGTTAAGTCAGTCGTGGATGAGATGAGGGTGGTTGGATGGTCAGATGACGATGGACCAATCAGATGGTGCGGGCAGTGAGAAGGGGATGATGGGAGTTTGTGACTCAGACTGCTCCAGGTGACGTTGCTTGGGGCTCAGGTAAAGCTCTCCTTCCTCAGATTGTCGCGGGGCAGCTACAGTCAACGTCGCCTCCAGAGGACTGGACGGGAAAAGGCAACAGGAAGTGATCATCAAGGTGATTGATTATCGGCATCAGTGATTGGCTCAGATATTCAACAAATCAAGAGGTTTAATGATTCTGGACAAAAGTTTTTGATTTATTTTTGTGTTTTCCGGTGACCTTGTCCAAATAGCGATGCCCCCAGTGGCAAAATTGTGTAATGAAATATTTTGGTGTTTCTTGTTTGACATCTATTCCTAACACATCTATACTGTCTATGTATCCAGAGGGGTGGGGTCCAGAGGTGGGGGTTGATGATTGGCTGGGTTTGGACCTCCCTGAAGCCTCTTTGTGTAACAGGGTTAGGATTAGAACCCACAAACCTTTAACTGTGAGACCCCCCCCCAACACCCCTCCTCCCGTGTTCTTTTTCCTCAGGCTGCAGTGGTTTGAGTCTGTCCTTGTCGTGGACAGTGGTGTGAAGACAAACCAAAGTTTGGGCCGAACTTTTCTAAAACATTCACGAGGGGGAGGGGGGGTGTCTCCCAGGTGTCGGCTACCTCCGTCTCTTTCCAGACCTTTCTCATCCTGGAGAAGCAGCAGCTCGTTTGAAGTCCTGCCGGGGGGTCGGGGGAAAGAGGTGGATGCAGCATTGGTTGA